GAGGCACGCCAGCGCCCGCCCCAGCTTCTCTGTGCAAGCGGGATGTGGCTGGGGACTATCCCTTGGATCAAGATGACCACAAAAGGTCAACGTTCTGTCCGGCTCACAGCCCTGAGGGGACTGTGACCCCACAACTGCACACACAAAAGATTTCAAAGTCGCTTCAAAAAGTAGCAAGGACAAAGAGACGTGTGTCCAAGCAAAAGACGGGTGGGGGGCGCTGAGGGCAGTGTGCCTCTTGCCACGCTGAGGTTCTTAAGCATCTCCACGTTAGTCACGCCACGTACGTCATACCACCTGTATACCGCAGTGCGCGACCGTCACACGCAGCTACACGTAATGCTGTGAGCAGGACCTGGTCTCGCACTCACATATACTCTGCCTCTTATTTTGTACGTCATACCACCTGTATACCGCAGTGCGCGACCGTCACACGCAGCTGTACACGTAATGCTGTGAGCAGGACCTGGTCTCGCACTCACATATACTCTGCCTCTTATTTTGTAATGCCGCACACCACGGTTACTCCACTTAGAAGCACAAGCTGAATGAACCAATCTTCCGGTTCTTCACACCGTGGTGCAAAGCGCACTTCTTCCCGCATAAGCCCCACAACAAGCCCCTCTCCTTCAGGAGGGGGTGCACCAAGCGGCCACGGACCCAACGTGTGTCCCCACTCCTGCGAGCACGCAGGTGTGCACTGTTTTGGGAAGATGGGAAAGACAAGATGAAGGAGGAAGGGAAGCGGCAGAGGCAGGGAGGAGGCACAAAAATAAACGTACAGGTACAAAACACCAGCAATGAATGCAAACATATATCCTGCAACTAGAGCTAAAAACAGCGATACTTGTGGGGGAGGACCGAACTTAAGACCTTGCCCTTGCCAGGGAGGCGCTTATGCCTCTGAGCTCTCTCTCCAGCCCCCTAAAAATAGCAATATCAACAATTATAATGAAAAAACAGAAATAGCCCGGCCGGTGTGGCACAACCGCAAGCCTATTACCCCAACACTCAGCAGGCTGATGCAGAGGACCCCTGCGAGTTCTAGGCCAGCCTTGGCCACACTATGAGTTCAAGGCTAGCCTGAACTAGAGAAAAAGGCAAAATGAAAAAAGAAGATAACAACCAAAATAATGCACACAAGGAAAAGGGATCCTAGAGGTGGAGGGAGGGAAGTAGGGAGAGGGGAAGAACAAACAATTGAGGTTCGTTATGTGCATGTTCCCGTCTAAGTGGAAAGTAAAAATAAATTATGTATCTCCTGCTCTTAAGAACTGCCAGGGAGGACAACCAGCTTTTCCACTAGTGCAGAAAAAACTGGGAGCCAGCTACATGACCAGGAGCAGACGGGCCAGCAGAAGGAGGGGCAGTCCAGTGGGAGGAGACATTCCAGTGCCAGGCACAGTAGGCTATTCTCCAGCAGAGGGGGAAGGTGACACCTGAGAGCACACACTGGGGCTTGCTGCCTGCCTGCTACCACTGGGTTTTATTCACGCAGCCTGCTGGGCGGGAGTCCCGTGGGCTCACCACTTCCAACACAAAATGCGTAACAATGATGGGAGATTAACGCGCAGACCCACGGGGTGGCACACTGAGAGGGGCAGGTAATAAGGCTGAAGGGTCTGTGGCCCTGCGGGCTCCACCACCTCCTCAACCTGACAGTGGGCACAGAAGCAGAGATGAACACGACCTCACGGGTGGGAATCTGCCCCAGGGGCCAGTCTGCTGATTCACGACCTAAATCCTCCTACGTGGGTAATGCAAGGTTAGTTCCTATCTCGTTCTCACGCACTTTTCTCACCCCTGAAACCTTTTCTGCTGGGGATGGGTCATCTCCCAGAGGAGGGTGCACATCCAGGATGGAACTGCGACTTGGAAACAGTACACAAGCACAGGCACTGCTGGACATTTTCCTCTCCTTCAGCAGTGAAACATTTTAAAGAATGAGTAATCACAATTCACAGAATTATACAATCCTCTACTGTTTCACGTTAGAATGTACAGGTCAATGCTAATTGAACAGTATCTTATAGGTACACAGACCTGTTACCACCACCAGCATCTTACTCTAACATCTTTAACATTAAAAATCTATTAAATATCCAATTTTGTATTTTGACAATCTTAAAAGCCCTACATTCTGACAAAATTGAAATTACAATTTCACAGCTATTCATGTGGTATGACAATAAATTACTGTTTTTAAATTTCTTTTACTGTTGTTTTAAAGTTTCTGTATACATGATCTCCTAAGAAGTTGGAAGTACGTCCAGCATTGCTATTATAAACTGCCTCACTACCTACTGAACGCTTTTAAATATTCCAGTAAATTTTTAATAATATATATTTAAGAGAAACTGTAAGTCACTGTGGAGCCCAATCCCAGAATATAGAGAATAGGGAAAAAACAGATTGGCATACTAGTAACTTGTATAACCTGAAGCCTTAGCATTCACATAAATAACCACAGAAAATTTGGTTATGAAAAGGACCTTGAAACTTTTTCAAAACTCATGTCACAGCTCAAAATAAATTTAAAAGTTCTCCATGTGAATTTGACATTTTCAAACTTTATTAATACAGCTGAAACAAATTATATGGAACTAAATGAAGCCAAAAGTAGATTTTTATAACGTCCTTCTCAAGACAAGTAGCCCAGATTAAATAGGTAAAAAAACTAATTTCAAAGATACCTTTAAAGTATTTGGAGGTTAAAAAAAACACGCTTTTACAAAGTGATTTGTTAACCTTAGATGTTCTATCTCCATCCCGTTTTTCTTTTTTTTTTTTAAAGATATTTACTTATTTATTTATTTACTTATTTAGTGTGTGGCCAGCTCAGCCCACCAGGGGGCGGGCGGGCCAGCATGTGGTGCTGGGGGATTGAACCGAGGTCTCTGTGCTTTGCTTGAGCTTAGCTTGTTCTAAGTAGGTGCCTCAGACCACTGAGCCATCTCACCAGCCCCCGTTTTTTTTGAGAAACTGAAGGCAAAAAGTAATCAACTGAGGAGGCTCACACCCATTTTATTCACCACGCCCACCAGCTGGAAGAGCCCCCGAGCAGACCACATGAAACTTTCAAGGGTGTGCTGTGCGCATGGGCAGCAGGTACTGGTGAAAGGCTCCCAAGACTTCAAGGGCAACCAACACTAGGGGGCAGCAGCAAGCCGCTGAGGATTAGGCAGAGCAGTCCCTGGGCAAACAGACTCACCGGAGCTGTAGACATCTGGAGCAAGATAAACTGTTGCAATGCGCGCAGGACGGAGGCGTCTGGAATGCCACAGCCAGTGTAGCACTAAGCTACCAGGACTGCCTCCCTACGATGTACTTTTCATGAAAATGAAACTGTAGCGGAAGATGGCTTAAAATTAAATGTTACTAAAAACTGTGCCTGTTTTGATTAATTTCTCTCCCATTTCCTGTTTATTTTTATGCCCAATTTAGGAATATCAGTTTTCATTCATGAGATGAGCACTATAAAGGTAAAAGCTGGAGATTTTATCCAAAGTATTTCTTAAATTAATGCTAAGCTTAAGGGGTTTTATTTTCAAGTTAACATTTTTAAATCAAGAGGTACACAAGCAAGCTTTGAACACTCCTTTAATGCATCCTGAGCAGTGGTGTATGTATCCCACTAAAGAAGGCAGTCTGGCAGAGGAGAAATGGTATGTAATTACAGAACACAAAATGCAAAAAGGCAGAAAAGTGTGTTTATTACACACGAGTGTAACAAAACAAAACCTTGGGCAGTTCTGTCCCAAAAGGCTGGTAGAAATTATCAATCTTATTCTAGGAGTAGCAAAACTATAAAAAAAAAAAAAAGAAAGAAAATGTACCCCACAACAAATGAGAGAACAAGTATATGGAAAAGATGATTAAGTCGTGGACTTGCAGCCCTCCAGCTCACTGCTACACTCAATGGCCACAGTAAGCTGAGAAGGCAGGTTTCACTGCGCTTCCTTCCAGGTAACTGGCTCAGTCAAGGTAGCCAGAGCCAACAGCAGATCCAGGGTTGGAACCTATAAAGCCAGTCCAAAGCCATACATTCTAATATTGGCTAACACTAAAAACAGAAGAGGGTGGACAAAACAAAGTAATATTGACAAGAAAAATTTAATTGAAAACAGATGGGAGAAGGGCTGAGGTGGAAGTGTTTGAATTTTGAGGCCATCCTGGCCAACTGAGCAAAACAAAGGGCTCATGACACCAAGGCCTCAAGCTGCATGCGGCTCAGTGCTTCCAGGGTTCAATCCCTAATACCAGGCAAATTTTTAAAAAAGGGATCAGCCCAGCTGAGTAATTTTTGTACTATAATACCTACAGTTCTACTTTTCCACAATTAGTATTAAAACTTTAAAGAAGAAAGGACGCATCCCCTAGAGTAGTATCTGTGTTCTAAATCTGAGGCCTCCTCAAAGTTTAGCAAAGAATTGCGCAAGCTTGGCTGGGTATGGTGGAGCACGCTGGGAATCACAGGACTGAGGAGGCTGAGGCAGCAGGATCCTTCCAAGTTTGTGGGCAGCCTGGACTACAAAGTGAGCTAGCTGCACAGTGAGACCATGTATCTAATAAGAGAAAGAAAAAAAGGCGGGATAACGTGGCTTAGGCCAATAGTCGCCCCAGCGCTTGGGGAGCTGAGGCAGGAGGATCCTTGAGATTTCAAGACCAGCCTGTTGAGCTCAAGACCTGACCTACATTGAGACCTTGTCTAAAAAAATAAATATTTAAAAAGCTGTGCTAGCAGAACAGAAATTCCTGAAACACAAGCATTCCAAAAATGAAAATCCAAATCCCAAAATTTCGAATTTACATCTGACCTCGGATCTCCCAGCATCTTTTCTATCAGGACCAGTCGTTCCTGCACAAGGGCTTACTGACAGAATTCGGCTTTGTGAACTTAGATGGAGAAAAAAGAAGCACATCTGAATTTTAATTAGCCTCCAGAATATACTTATTCCTTCATATCCCCATACGCAGACAAAAAGTACAATATGAAATACCTGAAGGAAATCATTTACATTTTTCGGATCACTTACAGTCCTGACTAGTCAAACGAGGCGCTACTGCTGGAATTTAAGGCTTTACCACAGCAGGGGTTATTTCTTCATGGCTCTCTGCTGCAATCCTACATACTTAGTGTTCTCGAAACAAAAAGGTTAAAAATGCCTGCCAGCACATCCTTGTTTCTTTTCCTGCATAGAATGTACCACTGATCCTGCATACGTGTTTCTATCCCCGGTGAAACCTGCGGGGAGACAGCATGCGGGCCATCCGGCTCCGACTCTCACGCTCTAGAAAGAAACCGCTCGGACGCGTGCAGACGCGGGGTCTGCGCGCAGGGCAGCCCGAGGTGTGGCCTGCGCTTGCTTCCGGGCGCATCACAGCTCCATTCCCGTCTCCAGTGTGCGCTCGCTCCTCGCTTAGGTGCACTTCGGATCACAGCCCGAAGGCCACGGCAAGGCCACGGCAAGGCCAGGCTGGGCGACGCGGCTCCCACGGCCACGCCGCGGAGGAAAGGGGACAGGGCCCCCCGCCCCCCGCCCGG